TCATCTCCCTCCCGATGCCTTTGCTTGCTCGCTCTGGCTGTTACGTGTTTCCACTCTGCTCTTGCCACTCGTTCACTCTGGTCATCCACTCACTGCTCTTCCTCGTCTTAGCTTGCTCCCTCTGCTTCATCACGCACTTAATATCTCACCGCTCCTGCTCCTTCCGCTCTCCACTCTTCTCCCGTCTTTCTACTATCTTCCCGTGCTTCCCACACTATCTCGCTCGCTCACCCCACAGGTTCGCTGCGGGCCGGAACCCTTTTACACAACCTAGCGTCCTCTTGCACCTTATGTCGTCCCATCCGCCTATGGCTATAGCCCTACCTGTCTATCCTTTGTGTATCGCATATAGATAGACCATCCATCCCCACCCACCGGTCTATGTCGTTGAGTCATAGTGATATACCCCTACCCTTTATTTATGGATAGATATCCTTGGGAGCCCGCATCGTCCACCCGCGGTTCCGTCCGCGACGCCCAGCCCTTGGGCTGATACATGGTCCCTCTTGGAAGGACCACGGGAGGCGGGAACACGAGTTTGAGAGCAACGGCGAAAGCAATGTCACGCTTGCTCTTTTCAGGAGCATCCTTCACAGCCCGCAACCACTCGCAGCACAACCCTGCCGCCTCGGTCTCTACCTCCATCGATAAAAAAGACTGGTTTTACTATAATTTCAAGCGGGGAAGCGGATTAGAGGCTTCTACATCGACTAGTGGCTCAAAAACACTCTTGTTCGGAATTAAAATCAGGGGCGTAATGGTGGCCCAGTCAAAAAATCTTGTTCTGTGCCAGCGAGCGCGTCGGGCCAGAATGCTTACAGTACCGACGTTGATGTTCGGTCAGTCCTCTTCTTCTGTGTTCCAGCGCCTTCCCACCAAAGCCTGAACACACACGCCCAACGTCAGCAAACCAACCGCCCAACGACAACCCAGAAATGACTGGTCCGTCCAAGAATTCTGGGACTGGTCCAGGCCAACCCGCCATCGCGTCAGCGCTAGCGGCGGCCGCCCAACATCAACAACGAGCCAGGACTGCGTCCCCAAGCAGCCATGTGGACATGACGTCCAATGACCCCGCGCCCGCCCTCCCCACCGCGACATCCGGTGGCAACGCCGCTCCCGGCACAGCTGGCAACACCAACGCCAGCACGACCACCACCCCCGGCCAAGCCGGCCAGGCCACGGCGACGGCCCCCACCGCGGCTTCTGCTGCGGTCTCCTCGCCTGCGGCTTCATCCTCATCCTCATCCTCATCCTCCTCCTCCTCCTCCCCCTCCCCCTCCTCCTCCTCCCCCTCCACTGCCTCCTCTTCCTCATCTGCCGCAACCACCACTGCGACCAGCGCCCGGACCAGCCTCGGCGCCAGCGCCAGCAGCAGCGGCAAAGGCCCCTCCACCAACTACAGGAACGCTGTTGTCGCCAACGCCGTAAACGATCCTGACACCGACACTGAAGCCGAAACTGCCCCGCTGTCCTTTGAAGAAGCCAGGAAGCTCTTTGAAGACGCAGGCAGCCCAACACTGACCATCCCCCAACTCCCCGTCAACAAATGGAACGAAGCAATCGTCTACATCGTCAGGAACTACCACCATGTCTTCCAAACCGGCCAAGCTGGTCACACGCACGCCAAGCTGTTCTCTGCGAGCTTCACATCTCAGGATGCGTACCGCAAAGCCCTGCAAGAGGGCGTCAAACTAGGCAGCTACACCTACCAGTGCACTCCTCAGCACCGCGGTCTTCCATTCAAACTCGAAGGCATCGAACCCGACACTGATTTCGAACAGCTGAAAGCAGCCATCGCCCACTTCATCCCGAACGGAGCCGCCGGCAGACCAGTCGGAGTCGTCTCGGACATCACAGTCATCACCCAACGCATCGGAAAAACAACACTCTTCACGAAGAACGCAGTTGGCACCATTATCTGCACCAGGGCAGACGCCCAAAAGATCGGCGCCGCCATGGACCGCCTCATCGAGGTGGACAACCACGCAATCACCATCACCTGCGAGTACCAAACCCCGTTCTGCCCCCGCTGCAAGCTCCGCCATGCCAGGGAGGATTGCCCAACTGCGCCGGCTTGCCGATACTGCCAAAAAACGACTCACTCTCCCTACAACTGCCCCGCTAAGCACAAAGGCGACAGGAAGCGCAAAACCCAAGCGAGCAGAACCCACCACCACTCCGACTCCGAGTCGGACACCGAAGAGGTGCTCCCCTCGTACAAGCACCATGCCACAACCAGCAAATCCATGGACGGTTTCATCCCAGTCAGGTCGAACACCCACCGATCCAAGGACCCCAACGCCCAACCTGGCGACGTCAGCATTGTGCGCAGGACCAGCGCGAGCGCTGAGCAAACACAAGCCTCACCCGCTCCGATCAGCAGCACTGCTAACGGACGCACAAGCCCCGATCACGACGCGAGGAACAAGCGCTTCTGTGGTGAAGACCACAGGGAAGACCCTATTCCAGTGTCTAACAGCTATGCACTTCTGGCGAACGCTGATGACTCACACTCCACCTTCGAACCGACCACCGAGCTCGAGGAGCCTCCGGGGGTCGCGATGGACACGAGCCAAGAATGACCGGCCTTCTCTTCGCAACTCTAAATGCGCGCTCCCTCTCTGTAGGGGGCAATGCGCCCCTCCCCTTCTTCTCCTCCTCCTCCGCCTCTCTCATCCATGCACTCTCCAATCCGGCCACCACCTACAACGGCCGCCCAACTCCTCCAACCGTCATCCTGCTTCAGGAAACCTGGCTCACGCCAGCGACCGAAGCAGCCGCCTCCAACCTCTTCCGCGACTACACATGCTTCTGGAGCTCCGAGCCGGAACCCAAGCACGGGGTCGGCATCCTCATCAGGAAGCCGGCACCGGGCGACACCGACCCCGCACTCTCGAGCCCAACACTACTCAGCACCATCCCAGGGCGAGCCCTCATCATCACAGCAAACCTCAACAGCAAGCCAACCATCATCTCATCAATCTATGCCCCGGCATCTGGCTCACAAGCTGACAAAGTGGCGTTCCTGGACCAACTCAGCGACCTCATCAAGTCAGCCACCCAGCCAAACGACGACGAGCCAAGGCTGCCCGCCATCATCGGCGGCGACTTCAACAACACACCAAACATCAGCCCCCTGTACGTCCAACCAGAGCCAAGCCAAGAGCCTAGGAGCGCCACACAGGCAAACCACGCTCTCAAGGACTTCATCAACAAGCACGCACTCGAGGATGCCTGGCTGCTCAACCACCATGCCGATGACCCTGTCGAATACACACGATGGCCGAGCAAGAACCAGACACACCGAGCCTCCCGCATCGACCTCATGCTCCTGTCATCCAACCTCCCGCTCACAATCAAGTCGACTGCGACCAGGATTTACCAACACTCGGATCATCGAGGCGTCTGTGTGAACCTGGTGGCGCCGTCCGCGGAAGACAGATGCACTCCACCCTTCAAGCTGAACGACACCATTCTCGAACACGCTGGCTTCTGCGGCATGGTACTCAACGAGATAGCAGAGCTGGCGCGCCGCCCCGACCCCGAGAACCACTGGACTGCTTTCAAGGCCGACGTAGCATGGCTAGCTCAGTGCCTGTGCGGCTCCATTGCGAAAGACCGGGCGAAGGCTCTGGCCCAAGCGAGCCGCAAGCTCAAAATCATCGAAGGCAATCTCCTCGCAGCAACATCCCCCGCAGAGGCAAAACTGCTTGCAGCCGAACGAGCGGAGCAGGAAGCCCGTGTCAAAGCTGAGCTCGAGCATCGCGCGCAAGGAGCACGAGTCCGCTCGGCCAAAAAGTGGCGCACCGAGGGCGAACACCCCACCTCCTTCTACTTCTCGCTCGAAAAGCAGTCCCAAAAGGCGACGCACATCCCAATGCTCCTCGTCGACGGCAAAGAAGTCACCGATGCGGCCGGCATCACGGACGCCCAGCGAGATTTCTATGCCAAGCTCTACGCGCACGTACCCATTGACCCAGCAGCTGCCCGGCACATCCTCAGCCATGCAAAGCCCAACGAGATGCTCGACGACGAGGACCACGAGTTGATGAGCAGACCGCTGGAGGCATGGGAGATCGTCCACGCCATCAACAAAACTGCATCTGGCAAGTCCCCAGGGCCCGACGGGCTGGGCACTGCGTTTTACAAGAAATTTAAGCACGAGCTGGCCCCAATCCTCGCCGCCATCGCCAACCGCTCGCTCGAAAATGGTCGCCTTCCGGAATACATGCAGGACGGCTTCGTCAAGCTGCTGTACAAGAAAGGCCCGCGCTCTGACCTTGGCAACTACCGACCAATCTCGCTGCTGAACTGCGACTTCAAACTCCTGACCAAAGCAGTGATCGCTCGGCTGCAGCTGGTGGTCAACGACATCATACCACTCAACCAAAACGGTTTTGTCACCTCTCGGACCATCGATGGCTGCGTCCATCTCACCCGAGATGTGATAGATCTGTGCACACCATCCAAAACCCCTGGAGTGATTGCCATGACTGA